CTTCCTCTGCTCGATTTCTCATTTACTCTCCCATTCAGCTTGTAATGCAAACACCACCAGAGTCTAATTTCCCAGTAATCCATGCTTCCTCATCTATTTGTGATTCTTTGTCCATTAGCATCTCTCATCCGTCACACTGCACATTACCTAGTTTTTCCTACAGCACTCTGTGGACCAGAGAATGATTTAGCACAAAAAAAGAGCATCCTCATCCCTGTTCATGTTTCTGCTTCTCTTCACGGAGTTGTACTTTTATCCACCTCTCTTCACAATCCCCGAGGAGAAGGGCAGCTGCCAGCTCAGCACGCAGAGACACAAAGCAGCCATAATCAGATGTCAAGCACAGCCCTGATGCTCAAATCTATATTGTGGTGGCTTCACTGCCGCCCCGTTTGTAGCAAGAGAAAGAGAATAGCCTTAAAGATTGGACCAACTACACACAAAAAAAAGTAGTGGGATATGTGCATTCGTAGTGGATTATTATTACCTTCCCTTTCCCACACCAGATTTATTACTAAGTATTCCGATGTGTTGCTTGGTTGCTCTGTACATATCTGTGTAGTACTTCTGTTGATGTCCCTGTGTTAGGATAGTAACGGGTTCTTACTGGGCGGCCTCCGCAGACGGCCTCTCCCTCCTACCTCGTCTCATTTCCTCAAAAACTTCAAACATTCCATCTAAATCTCAAGTGAGCAACATTTTAAAGACGATTAGATTACCACGTAAACTGGGGGAGTAAAAACAGCAGAGGGACTGAGCTGCAGACATTTCCGCTGGAGCCATGATAATAACCAAGACGTCTTGTCTGTGTTCACGTCCCTCTGAGAGCTGATGGCACGCTCAGCATAAAGACCAGCACACTCGCCTCTCTGCTCGTCCGTTACCCGCCTTCACACCAACCTCATGGGGGAAGAAAAGGGTGAGGTGGGTGAGGAGGTGGCAGAGCCCTGGGGGGCGGCAGAGAGGCGCGTCCCTGTGGTCACATCCTGGGTCAGGAGGGAAGGGAGCAAGGGCGTCTCGAGGTCAAACCCAGTAGCACTTTGGTTTTGCGTTCCATGTTTTTTTAGCCTCTCCTGTTTTTTGGCCGAGCGGACTGTGATCTTACTGGTTGATTTTCTCGTTCTCCTCCACCCATCAGTGTTACAGAGTGTGTTGGGTGGACGGAGCCATGGAGCTGAGCTCTGATTTTGTTCCATATTAAAGAATCATTTTTACAAAAGAACTGTACAGAGATTCAATGGTCTTTCATTGAAAACATTTCTTTCTTTAAAGGACCGGTGTTCAGGGGGATTTATTGGCAGATAAGGAATATAATAAATATGTTTTTATTTGTGTTTAATCCCATAGAACTATGAATTGTTTTGTGTTATTTATCTTAGAATGAAAGCTTCACATCTTAAAAGGAGCAAGTCATTTTCCTGGTCCATCGTTGTATGTTTCTACAGTTGTCAAAAACCAAACACTGGTTAGGTTATAGAGAGGGACTCGAGCCTTTTTGGCAGAGTGAATTTAGGGGTGGGAATGCACCTGAACTACTCTGTAGGTTCTCTACATTTCATAGGTTTCCTTTCATGGTCCTCAGAAGTCTTACTGACTTAAGTGATCCTCTGAATTCTTCTTCAGTACCACCATGAGGTTGGTATTTGTGTTTTCATAGTCAAACGTCTTGACTACAACCCGATAAATTGCCACGGAAATTGTAATTCAAGAGATCCAAGGTCTCGAGGGGATAGATTCATATAATTTGGGTGATCCTCTAATGATACATTTAGTGGCAACAAACTGCTAAACTGAGGCGGATATAGTCATTGTGATATTCTAAGTATGCTGATTATAGAAAACAAATCATTGCCAAGTACTCACAGAGGTTCTAGCCTGACTGTAGACTTTCAAGCTCCTAATTGTGACTATATGCTCTCTTTTTGTCATGAAACATGTTTTTCTTTTACTGATAAATAAACTCAATATCTTTGGATTTTTGAATTATTTTATATTTTGGACAATTGTTAAAGAGGTTAAATAGGTCAACTTGGATACATACTTATTTTGTGTACGTTTAAAATATGATTTATGCTGTTACATTAACTCTTACCCTAATTGGAAGTCAGGTTTCAAGACCAGAAATAAAATAACAGCCTGACAGCAAAATGTGAACAGGGGTATCTAAATGGTTGTGGCCATGTTTTGTCTCACATAATGCACATTACAGTGTAACTAAACTGCAATATAAGTGATTAGAGTGTAATGACACCATTCAAATTCAAATTGTTCTAACATTTGCTGATAAAGATGACAATTTGAAAAGGTTGTTTTTGCCTTTGAGTGCAATTCAAAATGTATAGTGGGAAGCTTCTACTCTGAGCATAACATTAGTCAGCATGAAGGTAAATGAATTGCAAAGCTATGCTACACTCAGAGGAAATCTTTCATCCCATTTTCAAGGATGATGACACTCTCATTACTTAGCTCTCATTGCAGTTTGTTTCATTTCGTGTGTGTGTCTATTAGACATTATAAACATTCAATATTGCAACATCAACATGATGAAATAGTTAGTCTTTAATGTAATCTTCTTCTCATCGAGTTACATAATAGTCAATATTGTACATGTCAGGTGATGTACATGTTTTGACTTCAAATATCTTATTTCATGCCTGAATCCCCCTCTGCTCGTCACAGCCTGCCTCTTCAGCATTGCACGCACCAAAGATGACTGAAACTCGAAATGGAAAAAGATGACAATGCAATTTACTCCAAACCGTACCTGTGCCAGATTTGCCTATTAAGTAGAGAAGTCAAAAAGGAAGCAGGAAGGAGATAAGACCCAGAACAGAGAGGCAGTGAAGCAGAGAAAGCACCTCCGAGACCTGACACACAAAGAGGGGTCTTGGCGCCTGAGCTGTCTCTTTATGTCTCTCTAAATATGAATGCCATGCTATTGTATGGCAGACACAGAAACAGGTTATTGAACCGACAGAGAAACTGTGGAGACTCTCCTCCTGGCTCAGAGTTGGGCAGGAAGCGCAGCCGAGCTCCTGCAGACAGGGCCGAGGGTTGGTCCCTCCCTGAATTACAACAGACGGCTGCAGGCGAGACAAACGCATCAACTCGACGGGAGACCCATGCTTGCATCCCCTCCATCTATTTTTAGAAACACTGCACCCACCTTTTTTCAGTCTTTAAAGCTCCCTCTGTATTCTAAGTGGTATCTCAAATGTGAACACCCTCCCTCCTTCACTTTTATTCTAAATGTGATCATAAATCGTCTATAGCTGGGCCAGGCTACAGCACATTCATATTGTATGTGAATGATGCAAGTGCAGAACAAACACAGATTGCTGTACTGAAGAGATCACGTGGAGAGTCTGCAGGTTTTCATTTCAAACAGCAGGTGCTTGCACTGATGGGCTCTTCCTATCTGAAGCTGGTCCAATAAGTGAAATCATCTGCTGGAATCTTTAACTGGAATGAAAATAGGCGGCTGGTCTATTCCTGCTGTATGGATCCCTGTGAGTTTATAATTAGATATGCCAATAATGTGCACATTGTGTTGAAAGAAAAGAAGCAGGAAATGAGACTGTCAGTTTCAATGATGCAGGCGTTCCCCTGTAGTTATTTTTTTGAGAAAGATAATGAACAGTCCCAGGCTTGGCACGACAGCACGTCAAGAAAGAAAGAGTGTGGAACGGCAACAGAAGCAACAGCTTGGTAAAGATAGGCTGCCAGCGTTGGGCAGATGGAGAGAGCAAGAAGTGATGTGACAGAGGTGAAGATGCAGAGCGAGTCTAAGTAAATGAGATGGAAAGAGAAGGAAATGTGTGGAGATGATGTAGCAACGATGCTTTGTCATTGGGTGAGCAGCATGTTATGGCAAAACCCCAGTTAGATATAATACTTTAAAAATGAATCACTGAAGAAAATCACCCTTTTTTGAAGTGTTCATACTGAGTTCTACGATTATGTGGGATCTCTGATATAAAGCTGAGGCTATGTATAGATATCCCTATTTCACCCCTTTAATTTAATACAAAAAGCCTCCTGTTGGTGGGTTAGTTAGTGAGAATATGTATATAGCATCTGGAAAAATGACAGTTTTTCATGGTGTCCTAAATACACCAGATGTTCACATCCTCCAGATCAATTTGAGATGCATGTACAGATGTGTGGTGTACAGACACATTCTCCTGCTAACAGCGCTAGATGATAACTTCCTTTCTCGGATGGACATTTTTATCAAGATGTCATGCAAATATCTAGCCATCCATCATTTTTTACATAACCTCACATCTTGGGCTAGCCTGAAGTCAGAGCCACTGTAGCATCACACTGCCATCCAATGGACGCATGAGGAATCTGTGCAGTCTGATGAGGACTTCTGCTACTGCACGGCTCAAATTGAATGCAAATCAGTTTTATTTATACAGTACATCTTGCCACTTAAAAGATTTACAACCTGTAAATCATACAATAATAGTAATCTTTAAAACAGTCAAGGAACTATTTAAGCTGAATTAAATAAGGTGTAGGAATTATATAAATTACCTTCGACGATGATAGTGAATTGTGCAAATTTGTATGTGCAATAATAATTATTATTATGAATTAGAGACACTTGTTCGATTAAAACCAGTCAGACAGTCATAGTGTCTGTACTGTAAATAATATAAATGAATGAATTTGAATGAGAAATACAATCTAGATATGTTAAGGTATATTGTTTAATGTATGTACGATAAAAGAAAGTTCCCAATACACAACATTACATTGGTAGAACTTTACTTTACCCCCTTTTTAGGACACATATTATATAAACATTTAACACACTGTAATGCAGCTGCCCCTTGTGTAGGATATGTGTTAACGAAAAAAAAGCATGGACCTGAAACAATATTATCTTATGATATTATTAACTGTAATATACATATAATCATTGGACACTGCACTCACTGTTGAGCGGTAATGTTGCTGCCCCTTGTGCTGAATCTCCTAGCAACAGAAACATGTTTACCTTCAAACTACCAGAAGACAGAGAGGTGAACAACAACCTGGAGATGCAGGTACGTCTCAGGAGCTTTCTTTTTTTTATCTAAGATAATTTGTATTTGGTGTATATATAGATATCTGTAGCTGTACTGCTGTGCTGCTGAACTTTTTCTCCTCTCTCAAACAGCATGTGATAGAGGGAGCACTTATTGCAATATTATCTACAGACTCAGTAATCCCTTCTTGAGAAAGCTTGTGTTTCTGTCAAACCTAAAAACAAAGGAGTTACACTTTGTTTGCTGCTTCTGTTTGTGGTTACGGCGCTGAGCACATGCCCAGAGGATTTTTGTCATCCATCACTTTTTTTGTCACTGAGGGTTTCCATTACAGCAGTCACAGATGGCTGCGCAGGGGAGGATGGTCATGCCGACAGGCAGCAGGGGTCGACCGACCGGAAACAAACTACAAAATACTTCTTATGGTGAGAGAGTGCATGATGAGGGGAGCTCTTTTATCTCAAACTAAAGGAAAGAAAGTCTCCGAGTATACATAAATAACCAGTGGTGGACGAAGTACTTTACTTAGATCTTGTACCTAACTAAAAGTAGTTACACCACCTTGTAGAAATATCAAAGAAAAGTCCTTAGTCAAAAGTATTGGCATCAAAATATACCTAAAGTACCAAAACTAAAAGTAGCTTATTTTTGCTTTATATATATTTTGTATATGAACCTGCTAGTTTCTCTAATATTTGCTTCCAAACTGAAGTGGACTACTATGGACTAAAGTGTAAAGGCACAGACAATAAAAAGTACCTCTAAATTGTACTTAATTACAGCTATTGGGTAAATGTAGGCTACTTTTTATCACTGTAAGTAACCTGTATTAAACTGATTCTCAAGGCCAATATGTGTACCACTGTCTCAGTGCCAGGCACTGCAATCTTCTCCTCTTACCTCGGACATCCCAGAGGGACGGGCTTCACATCAAACCAGAGACCAGCCATATTCTACAGGCCCAGTTTGGACCACATTGATAACCCTCAATTTGGGTAAGTGCCAGGGCAAGTGAAGACAATTCAAATGAAATGTAATAGCACTGGTTGTTGTGTGTTTGCTTTCTTGTAAACCAACTTCCTGAAGTGATTCAATTGACTGTGAAATCCCCACTGTCATGTATAAAACAACTGTTCCTCTCTAGCTTCAAAAAGCTTGTCTCCTCAAACACAGGTGTGTTGTTTTTGTCCTCAGACTCCTGTTATCTGACAGTTTCACGACTCAAACTAAGCAGCACTACCAGCCTCACGTCCGGTCTGACTGCTGGGGGTCTTTACCAAACCTCATTAACAAACCCAGAGACAGCGGCTTCTACCAGTTGAGGATTCACCCAAAGGCAGAGACTGTGGAGGAAAAGGTGAAACACAGAAAGATAACAACACCTGAGATGTTGAGAAATGTCAAACATGCAAAAGTATTGAGAATGTAATTACTAATTCTCTGCTTTGAATATTTTCCCTCAGACAGAATACCAACAATTTTTTGTACCACACTGTCAAACACCAAAAGGTAAAATGATAAAAATGTTAGTTATATATAAATATAAGATTTTCTCATGACCTTTTGGACAACTCTAGTGTTGTCTTACACAGTTTATTTATTTTTCTATTTACAATTTTACATTATTAAACATTTGTATAGAACATTTTATCACTATTTCAGGCTTTGTTCTTGTTAGATTTTACTAGCATAACCATTTTTGTACATATTTGTGGTATTTTTGGAGGGAAATTATTTACAAATGTCTTCTTTAATGTAATTTATGTGCCAATAACAATGAAAAGCTTTTACTTGAGTGCAGTTTGGAGTTTGTTTGTAAATGCATTTAGAAAGCACTTCCTCTAGTTTCACAGAACCGTGTGACTGTGACTCCAAGAGGAGAGAGTGGTTTCACAGAGGGAACAAACCTACAACTCAACACATTTCAGGACAAAAGCTGCATGGTAAGTTTAGTAAATTGTCAAATGTATAAATTATTATCATTATTATTAAGTATTACTTTTCTTTATATGTAATCACACTATAGGTTCAACATTTATTTAAAATGTGTGGTCCGTCTTTATCCAATGTGTACATTATTCTCGTTCAGGTTGAACCTCTCCAGACTCACACAGTGATGAAAAATGACTTCATTCGGCCGTCATTTCTGCAGGTTGACCCACAGAACTTACATGTATCCACTCTGACACAATCTTTTGAAAGAATGCAGTTTGTAGTATCATTTTCCAGAAGCCATGACTTTTAACAGCATCTTTCTGTGCTTGTGTTTGAGGGCACTGAGGCGAGACCGAGCGTTTGCAGCAGCCATTTCTCTCATAAAACAGGATTCAATCGAGTTGCCATCGCTCCTTTGACCTGCCGAGTGAGTATTGATCTGCTTCCAGTCAGCTGTAGATTTGAATGTTATCCCTTTTAACTTTAACCTGCCTCACTCTGCTCTTCTAGGCCTCCCGCTTGCCCTCGCCACAGACTAAAAGCAATGCACCAACTGCTAAGACCATCGGAAAAAAGGTTAATCATTTGTATATTTTATATTATTTACCTTTACTCAATATAACCTCTGTGAGATATTTGTTGTTTTACCATGTTGTTGTGTTTTCTAGGAGCCAACAGGGTTTATTCTCAATGCTCCAAACAACCAGGCTTTGCCTAAGACACCTTTTGATGGTTCACACTTTAACACACATTATAGAAGCACGTAAGTGTGTTTAAACTGTTCAGATATTGCCAATCTTAAAGATTCAAGTTTGATTTGTTGACATGTCCACGTTATATTCCAGGTTCTGTCACGATGTCAATTGGGAAAAGTTTAAATCTGGCCACACTAGTGCAGGAATCGTCAGCGCAAAAATGGACCACGGCTACAATCGTCGGGACACGGACAGGTACATAAACAATCTCCACACATACAAAGTCCCATAATGCAAATGTTCCCTTTACTCAAATGACCTGCTTTTATTTCACAGATTCATGTTGAGGGGTTAGATCTCGGAACACCTGAGATGGTACCTGCAAGACTTATAATAAAATGTGGTTCTCTGGTTAACACATAACTCCTGGTGATTTGTGCTGTGATTTGAGTAAGAACCGTAGCAGTATTACATATCCTTGTAATTAAATCCTGAAATCCTTTATCACTACACTGTCTGTGTTGTTATACAATAGTCCTGTCAAAAAGCGGCAAATTCTCATCTCTTTGTGAAGTCCTTTTTGTGTGAGCTGCCAGTCAGACAAATGTGTGAAGTAGTGAGTGGTGTGAAAGCCAAAGAGGGAGAGAAGGTGATGATGCTTTGTCTTTGACTGTCTGGCTGTCACTGACCTACAGAGAATGAGAGTGTAAACTAATGAGCAAAATAATTATACTCAGACTCAAAGTATATGGCACAGACTCCCATCCATGGCTGCTGTGTGTCAAACTGTTTTGCCACCCACTGCTGCGGAGCGAGCAGCCGAGCACAGGCCGAGGAGGAGGATCGAGTTCCTAAAAGTGTCACATTATGGGTTGTATACTGTATCTCCATACTATACACCAACTGTGGGAAACTCTCAGCGGTTTTACATTGTCGATGCAAGTCTAATAAACACAGGATTACGGTGTCAAAACAAGAGATACAGAAAACCGCAGTAAGTGTTGTTCTCAGCAAAGTGTAGACAGTAGATCATGTTTGATTATTTGCCTACACATCTTCCTGAGGTGAACAGGGAAATAATACGCTTTATGGAAATGTGGCCCTTCCAGCAGATATAATTGTTGGTCAGTCAGAAACTATGATCAAAAGTGAAATATCTCAACAACTACTGGATGGATTTCAATGACCTTTGGTACAGCCAGTTTGTGCCTGCCATATAGTGCTATTATAAGGTCAACATTTAATTTAGTCAAACTCTTTATCACCACATAACTTCTAAACTAATTACAGTTCCATCCACGTCAGCTGTACTTTGTGTTTGGTGCTAATTTAGCATGGTTAGCATTACACTGGCTAAATATCAGCATGCAGTGTCACTGTGCGGTCGCTGCGCTGCTGTGCCTGTATGAATTTAAAGAAACACATTTGCTCTAAAGGGAACTGTGAAGGGCAATTGTAAAATGTTCTGATATTAAATTAAACAATCACTCAATTAAGCAAGAATGATTACAACACTGATAGGTTATATAAATGATCAGTTGCAGCCATAGGCATAAAACACAAATACCCCTAAACAAAGTCAGGACAGAGAATGGTCATTTTCTGTTTTTGTTCTCCTTTAAATGTCAAATGTCACTTAAGCCCCTCTGGTTCTCACTGTTCAAATGCAAAATATGGGGTCTAAAAGAGAGAATTCCTGCATTTCATGTTTTAGAATTGAAGACATGCAATCATCAGTTTAAGTCTGTTTTCCAAATGTTTCCCTCAGCACAGTCGAGACAAGCTGCCACACGAGAATGAACATGAATATTTTAGCATTAGGATAAATATTTCACTGAATGAGATGCGAGAAAAAAGATACGTGGAGGGAAAGAGGATTGGATTACATACGAGCCCCACATGAATAATGAGTGCAGAGATGAGAGGAGAACAAGAGCCAGACCTGCTTCATGTGAGAGGCAGAGGTAGAAAAGGTGCAGTCGAGACAAAAAGGGAGTATACAAAGGTCATGACGGACCTGAGTCTCTGACCTGCAAAGGGCATCAGGTTGTTTTATTTGAAAAGAAAAATCTCTTACTTGATTTTTTTGTGAGTCTATTTCATGTTTGGTTTGGAGCCTCCCTATGGACTTACCTTTTATGGTGAGGCACCCCAGCTATTCATCCGTTTAATAATCCTGCTTGTCTCCCTCTCTTTCTTGGCACTGACACTCTCAGGACTGCTTACACAACACTGACAAGGGTGGGGGGGGTTTTGTTAAGTATGTCATAAATATTTTGTAAATCTAAATTCAATACACACAACTACATGTGCACACACAGTCTCGGTTTATAAAAATAGCAGCAAGTCGAGCAGAGGTGCACTGGCACATTAAACAGACACTGACCGTGATGGGTGGAAATACTACAGAGTGTCATTGAAGTAAACATTTGCTGGTGCGTTCACTGGCTCCCAATTAAGACATACTCCCATGAACAACTGACACTGACTTCATCAGCTAAATTAATATTTAATAAGGGAAGACTTGGTCTCCTGTGCACACTCAGAAAACAACATAATGCAAAACAGCCACACACACACACACACACACACACACACACACACACACACACACACACACACACACACACACACACACACACACACACACACACACACACACACACACACACACACACACACACACACACACACACACACACACACACACACACACACACACACACACACACACACACACACACACACACACACCACCTGAGTCCTGCTCTGATTTGGTCATTAGCAGCTGATTGAGATGTCACGGTGCTGTCAGTTTACAGTTAAATAATGCCTCATTCACTTTCACAGTTAACGATAGATTAGAAATAAGCAGCACGGCTCATTTGTGTCAGCTTCTTTCATCCACCTCCGCCTGCCAGCAGATCATCAGAGTCTGGATGGTTGAGGGGTTTTCATGCCCCTTCATCTTGCCTCCCTGTGTCCTCCAGCTCCTCATACTCATAGTCCAGCTGAGCCCTCTCGTACTCAAGCTCGTCTCCCTCATATTCAAACCCCTCTCCTTCACATATCAGCTCCTCCGTCTCATACTCAACCCCTTCCTCGTTGTATTCAAGATCACCTGCATCATACTCAGTGACAGGAATCTCCCCTTCCTCCTCCTCAATTGTCATAGGCTCTTCCTCATTAGCGTCTGCGTCCCCTGAAGTGATTTGTTTTGAGTTGGAGCTGCTGTTCTTCAGGATGCCGTGAATCACTGGCTCCTCTTCTGCCAGAGCCAACTCTTCGGCCTCTTCCTCTGCGGCCTTTCGAAGTCTCTCTTTCTTGGCCTCTCGAGCCTCCAAGAACTCCGCAGCGCCTTCCCCGACCACGATGACCTCCCCGCCCACTCTAGGAGGGCTGTCCACTGGGTTGTGGTCATAGGAAAAGAGATGAAGGTTGTGGAGTCGCTTCAGGCTGGGGAACTCTGTTATCTTGTTGCGGTCTATATCTAAAATCTCCAAATGCTCCATGCGCAGCAGGACTCTGGGGAAGGTCTCAAAGCGGTTCCCGTACAACCATAATCCCCTCAAAGCCTCCATACGAATGAGGTCAGATGGCAGCGTCTTCATACGGTTGTTCCCAATCTGAAGGGACTTGAGGTTGGGGAGGTCGTAGAGCTCCCGGGGAAATGTGTGGAAGTAGTTGCTCTCGACCCACAGACAGCGCAGACTCCGGAGGTTCTTCAGCTCGGGCGGGAGGCACATGAGCCGGTTGCTGCCCAGGTAGAGGCGAGTCAGTTTAGTGAGCTCACACACAGCAGGGGGAACGTCCTCCATCTTGTTGAAGTCGAGGGCGAGGACTCGTAGACCCTTCAGCTGGGAGATGCTGTCGGGCAGAGTGCGCAGGCTGTTCCCACAAACATACAGCTTCTCCAGATGCAACAGTTCAATGACTCGTGACGGCAAGCGCTTGAATTTACGGTAGCTCAAGTCCAGCACAGGGTCTCCACTCTCGAACATCTCCTCCACCCCCAGTGGAAGCTCTCCCTCCACCACCACCTCTTCTTTCTTCTTCTCTGTGATTTCGGATTCCTCGCCATCCTTTGCCCCCTCCTCTTCTTCTAGCGCCCCCTCTTCCTTGGTGGAGGAGTTGCCCATGACTGCAGCCCCTGACTCCTATGTGAGTCAGGACAGAGTCATTTGATGAGGTAGTGTCTGTGACAAGTTAACCCTCAGCGTGGGAGCTGCTGTTGACTCGTTGATGAGCCCAACGGCTGCAAACGCCATCCACCCCCGAGACAGTTAACAATCTTGCAGCCATATTAGAGCAGTTTGTCAGGTGAATTTTCATCGCTTCATCTACACCTTGATCAGAAAACAACAGTATCAAACTTTGACGTAATAGTTTTAATGGCTGTAGTATTAGTAATAGTGCTTCTTGTAGTTGAGCTCAACAAAGTACAGCAGCATTTGCAGTTTAAATTGAATTCTTGCAGTCCTTACCCTTTCTTCTCCTCTTTAACTTCCTCCAGGCTTTTAAGAGAGATAACGCGCACCTGTCCACGTGATCCGGTCACTCTATCAGAACAGGAAAAAAGTGCCACTTTGGGACTTTAATAGTCAGTTAAATGTCCCTCGTGCTGCCGGGTGTTGGTGGATAAGTCCACAGTGCGTGCGCAGCTCGGTGACCTGGCCGGCGGCAAAGAAAAGGAGTTAATGGAAGTCTGCCCACTAGTTAATGCAGCTGCTCTCCATTAGAGGCCGCGGTGACTCCCGGAGTTTTAATCCGCGCCGGAGAAAGAAATTGCACATTTTGGGAAATTGCAGCGCAGACTGCCTGCCTCTGCCCTCCCGATGCTGGCCGCGTCTCTCCATCAGTGTGAAGGTTTACATTGAACTGCTGCCTCCCTCCTCCCACCATCTGTAACCGGAGCAGGGGGCATTCTCATCACATGGTCAGAGTGTGTGTGTGCTTGTGTGTGCTTGTGTGTGCTTGTGTGTGCTTGTGTGTGCTTGTGTGTGCGTGTGTGTGCTAGTTTGTGTGTCTGTCTGTGTGTGTGGTTGTTTGTTCGTGTTTGAAAAACGTTCACTCCTACTCGCATTTTATTGCACGTGCATGTATTGAAACAATTTTGTAACAACACTGCAGCACCTTTATGCTCAAATATACATTATTTAACCTTTCACCTACATTTGATATATTTTTATTTTATTTGCAGATGATAACAAACATCTTTCTGAGTTATGAGGTAGTTATATTGCATTTCTATTATCATTATTGTTATTATTATTATTAATATTATTATCATTGTTATTATCTCTACATAAAACTTAAGCTTGCTGTAGATTTATATATCTAAAATATACATTTTCACATTAATTCATTTACCTTTTGTTTTGTTTAGTTTTTGTTCATGTTATGGGTATAGAACTTTGTCCTATTCTCTGTCCCAGTCAACCTTTGATCAATGGATATGTACTTATATAAAAAGGAGAGAAAGTTTCAAGACCTCACCACTCAAACAATCGGAAATGTACAGATTGATTTCAAATGTACATAATATAAAATACATTTTCACAAAATGATGCGCCACAACTAAAGTATGTATCTGAATCTAAAAAAATACAGAAAGCTTCACCTCAACCAGCCACAACAAGAAAATACTGCATAAACATGAAAATATCAACAACATATTCTGTTATATAACACTGACAGTAGCAATAATACTGTATAATTAGTACTTTTGTTTTGTTCTTAAAGTATATTTGGCTGATTACACCTTTACTAAAGAAACGTCTTGAATGCAAGAATTGATATGATGAGTATTTTTCTCATGTACTTTTACTTTTACTGAACTTCTTAACCAGAACTTAATAATGATACCTCACACATCTGAGTAAAATACCAGTAATCTTCACACAGTCCCCGGACCTCCAAAGATGGTAACTTTGGGACTGGTTTCTATCAAACACTACAGACATTAGCTTCAGCAGGTTTTTACAGACCAATTAAAAAGCTGTGACGACAGCCGTCATGTGACCTTCTGCTTTGACACAGAACAGACACAAAAATGACCTGTAAACTGCTGCTAAACCTCACAGTGTTCAACCTGAGGACAGTGTAAGTGTTATTATTCATTGGGCAGTATGAAAGAGTAAAAGTCTCACCAAATGCCAATAATAAAGTAAAGGTTTTCCATACAGTATAGGTCTACACAATGTGGTTACTCACCACCTCAGAAATAACTAAATCTATTCAAATGCAGTTCAGATTATCATGAATGTGACAAGACTAATATTCATACACTGTGGCTCAAAATAGATCCAACATTTTCATGAGCCTAAAGCAAGTTTTAAATAAAAGGGCAACAGCTGTTAGGGCACAAGTTAGCTTTATCATGGATAAACATTTGCATCCTACAAAATATACTTTGAGTATGGTACAAACAATACATTAAAAGCAATGCATCACTATAAATACAATAAAGCAGTAATACAAATAAATGAATACTTCAACGGTATTGTAACACTGACAGAGACGATTCTGCTTGAGATCAGTAGTGCTTGAGTGCAAAAAAGTGTATTTTTGCACTCGAGCACTACTAATAAGTTAAACTACATGTAGTATTAATTTAAAACTGTATTACGACTTCTTCTATTTTACTTCTGAATGCAGGATATTTGACTTGTAATGCATTATTTTTACAATGCAATTTCTGACACTGCTGTATATAATACTTGCAAACCATTGATCTAAAATAAGCATACATTTTAAACTTATGAATGCTAAGTTTTAGTATTATTGCTTGAATTGCAGGTGGTGAATAGAATATGTCAGTTTGGAAGCCTTAAGAATGGAAGCCTCCCAAAACAGAAAATACTTATGTGAAGTTCCAAAAACTCAGACTTTAACTTGTTACACTAACTTTATTGAATTCCTGACAATAGCTGGCTTGTTTTCTGATGGACAGCCTGTTTGTTGGTTGTGAAACCAAAGAAAAGCCTGGAAAAGCTGCTGGGGTCAGATGTGCAGCGCTACTGTCAGCCTGATGAGCTGTGGCAGAAGAAGCGGACAAACAGGGAGACAGTCCGCATGCTGCTTGAGGATAATCCTGTCTGATATGCTGAAGACCAAAAGAGCTGATTTGCAAATTTCTGTGCCGCATTCAAACGACCCTGAAATGACACAAAGGACTTTAAGCAGCAGACAGACAGAGACTGCGGGCGGTGAATGGCTGTGACTGCTGAGGTGAATGTGTTGAATGCAGATTAAGAACTGCATGACCCAGCTGGTATTAAAAATATATGGAAAAGCAATTAAAATGATAAAAAACACACAAAAATTGACACTTTAAAGGTTACTTTCTATCATTCAAGAACAAATTATTAATAATGAAACATACTATTGGGTTAAATTACATGATTGCATGTATGAGGATCACGCATGCAACACAAGCCTGTAATCATACCTGCTGTTGCATCGTTGGGGTTAAATGAGGACAAAGAGGTGTCTGATGAAAGGAGCACATCTGCACTATCTGCTGGTGGAGGAGGGATCTGCAACACACATATTTCATAGCAAACAATGAATATATATATATAATGTTGTTACAAAATCTTAATAATAATATCAAACTAGACTTGTTTCGACTGTCAACATTTGTATGAGTTCAAGAGATTGCAAGAGAGCTTTAAATACAGGTACAGTATGGCTACTGTACATGTCTGAAAATATTTAGTAATTAAATGTGTAAAAAGATATCTCGCAACCACAGAATATATTACGTAATATAACTTAATTTAGCAGCAACTATTTTCTTCTTAGAACATTGAATCAATGTAGATGAATTTAAGATATTTTGTTAAAAAAACAACAAAAAAAACAAAACGATATCAATCTCAATATATTATTTCTATGACCCAGGATAGTTAAATCATTATTTGTAAACACGAGCTACTCTCTTTCAAGGACAGAAACCCTTTTTATTCCCAAGTAAGCTTTATTTTATTGGAGACATCAAGAACAATGCAATAAGTCCTGAATAATCATCAACCAACTAGAATGGAGTAAATATCCAAAAATAAAGACTTCACTACGACCATATTTAATATTATATGCAGTGATAATGCGCATTTAGATTGTAGATTATGATATACATGTAAGATATAATGATAGATGCTGTAACAGTCACTCTTTCCGTGTGAGGGCACAGACGAGTGTGTGTGATATTCAGACGAGCTGCTTGTTGAGCCCATTGCACATCAGCCAGTGGTCCAGGATATACTGTACGCTCATTGGCCCAAAAACCCTCGAATGATCGGCTCGGAAGTTGTTCTAAATGAGTGGGTGAATGAGTCCATGAAAATATTAGGGAAGACACGAGGATGAATTTAGGATGTTGGTAATATTTAAAATGGGTCTGAAGAACGGGATCATATAAAGTGAGCCGGTGTGTGAATGTGACTGAAACCCGGGGAGAGTTGCCAAAATCTGGATCCTGTAAGTGTGACATATTTGTCTTTTTTATGTTAATGTAGCGGGCCTGTACCGTCTGCTATCTGTGATCAGTGTTTAACTGATCAATAACCAGCCGATCAGCGGTAATGGAGAGACTGTGATTTGATGGGTCTGTGTTTTACAGCCGCGTTTTATAATGAACCGCGACTTATTGCTTTCATATGCGGCTGTGAAGATGAATAGTCGCACACAAACTCATAAAAGTCTAAATATACAGTAGCCTAGATAATTTGCGTGTTTTATAATGTGAGGATGTGCACTTGACATGCAAATTTGAGGTAAAAGTCGATACAGACGAATGATGCAAACTCCACATTTGAATCCACCCTTTTTCACTAGCAGCCTGCTTGTTGTCGAGTTTCATCATCAATTATTAGTGAAGATGTTGCTGTGCTCTTTTTCTGACTTCACTTGTGTAACACAGGCTGGGAGGTTAAACTAAAGAGAGCAACAGGTTAAAATCATTTTCTTCCTAACTCCTTCTCCTCGCACACTGTCCCAGGGGAGATTAACACACCTCTGTTTCTTCATCCAGGTGTCAAGTCTGTGACTGACTGGGACTTAAGTGCGCAGGTGGACCCAGGCCAGAGACAGCAGTGAAGATGGGAGGTGGAGGCCATCTGACGGAGGCAGGGGAGCCGGGCAGCGGGCAAGCCGGGGGGGTCTACACCTGGGAGGAGGTGCAGAGCCACTGCAACAGGATGGACCAGTGGCTGGTGATTGATCGGAAGGTTTACAACATCACACAGTGGGCCAAAAGACACCCAGGAGGCAGCCGGGTCATCAGCCACTACGCAGGAGAGGACGCCTCGGTGATATGTTGCTTTAATGACTAATTATATATGTTATGGTTAATATAACATATTACCTGAGGCTGAGAATATAAGTGGCTTCAGTTGGTGTGGTGTTCAAACATGTCAGTGGAGAAATGTAACTCAACATTTTCAACAGGTAAAATAGTTTTTACTTCTACAGTACACCCTCACATTTCAGAGGGACATGTACTATAGTACTTTTTAATTCACTGCATTAATCCGACGGTCATAGTCACTTTGTGACTAGAGAAATTCACGTTTCATGTCCTATGCTCTTAAAATCCAACACATCTTTGAATATTTAACTAGTGGTTTCTATCCTTTATCATACCCTCAAAGATGTATCATGTGTCCCTTTGAAGTGTACCTGCCCCTTACGTCAGGCTACACCAGCAATATGCTGCAGTGCTTACACATTGTTGCATCAGTATTGACAAGCTAGAAATATATTTGTAACATAACATTTACAGGGCCCATATTTATGCAGAACCAGTACTTTTACTATTATTAATAGTAGCGAGGCGAGGCAAGGCAAGGCAAAGCAAGGCAAGGCAAGGCAAGGCAAGGCAAGGCAAGGCAAGGCAAGGCAAGGCAAGGCAAGGCAATTTATATAGCACATTTCAACACAAGGCAATTCAAAGTGCTTTACAAAAATGAAAGACATTAATAGCATTTAAGAAACATATTATGAAATGATATCTAAAAACACTCATTTAAAAGCAATGATATAAAATGGCATTTAAAAACACTCATTTAAAAGCAAAGATACATGAATCACAGTTACAGTGCAGTGTGAGATACACACATCTGAACAAACCCCCCTTTGGAAAATTATAATCTGACCCCATGGTACCTTTTAGTTTTCGCCGAAACTATTCCTCTTTTTTATTTTTAAATGCAAATAGTTAAAGGGGACCTATCATGCAAAATGCACTTTTGTACGTCTTTTATACATGAATATGTGTCCCCGGTGTTCCAGGGAACTCACCAAGTGTCAGAAAACACAACCCTCTCTATTTTCCTCCATACCCAAATCTCTAAAAAAGGGGCTGCAACGGATCTGATAAGAACTGATCCAGATTTGAACACTGTCCTGACGTCAGGACAGTGGCGCTACGGCTATTGGGCCAACTCCACCAATCAGGAGGAGACAACCACGGCATTGCCGTTCGAAAGCGCTGGAGACGTTGTAGTACATATGCCAGGCCTCTAGATGGTGCTGTTGCTCACAGAATCAACCCTTGCTAAAACAGATCTAAAAAATGTCAAATTGAGCAAAATGAGGCATGGCTAAAATGCATGATCTGTTTGGTATTTTGAAAAAAAAAAAGTATAAATATGCCTTATATAGGTATGGTCCTACACTATATTAGTCAAATATAGCATGATAGGTCCACTTTAAGTTTACCTTGTCTTTCTAAGACTTTTTTGGTATCCTCCGTGAACCAGGGTTTTGAAACCAAAACTAATTCCTCTACCCCATGGTACCTTTTTAGTTTTCGCCAAAACAATTCCTCTTTTCTTTAAATGCACATTAGTTAAAGTGGACCTATCATGCTATATTTGAATAATATATTGTAGGGCCATACCTATATAAGGTATATTTATAGGTTTTCTTTTTCAAAATACCAAACAGATCATGCATTTTAGCCATGCCTCATTTCGCTCTATTTTGCTCTCCTCCACCCTGTCTTTGCATGCGCTGCAGCTGACCACGCCCCCCTGCAAAGGAGGGGGCCGAGTTACGAGCGTCGTGTTACCATGCTGTTACCATGCCACGGCAACCTCTCATTCCCCTGATAGGTCAGCTCCTCCGTCCTGACGTCAGAGAAATGTTCAAATCTGGATCAGTTTTTATCAGATCCGTTGCAGCCCCGTTTTTAGAGATTTGGGTATGGAGGAAAATAGAGAGGGTTGTGTTTTCTGACACTTGGTGAGTTCCCTGGAACACCGGGGACACATATTCATGTATAAAAGACGTACAAAAGTGCATTTTGCATGATAGGTCCCCTTTAAGTTTAAGTTGTCTTTTCTAGGACTTTTTTTGGTGTCCTCCGAACCAGGGTCTTGAAACCAAAACGGCACACGTAGGGGACTTTAACCACCTACGAGGGGACTTTAACCCCAATAATGACTTGTACATGTACACATGTTATTAAATTATTCTCTGACAAGATTTCTAATTTCTGTTTCCCAGGAGGCATTCACTGCTTTTCATCCCAACGTAAAATATGTACAAAAGTTTCTGAAGCCCCTGTTCATTGGAGAGCTGGCAGCAACAGAGCCAAGTCAGGACCGGGACAAAAACGTGAGATGTGCTTCAGATTCTTCAAATAAATCAACATCTCAATAGTCACGTCTTATTGGTACAACATGGTGAATAGATACCATGTATAGCAGCACGCATGCATACTTTTTTATTGCTTGCATCATCTGTTGAACTTTGCTGGACCTGTCTGTTTCTTCTTCTCTACTTTCAGGCGGCAATCATAAAAGATTTCCACTCTTTACGTGCGAAGGCAGAGAGCGAGGGTCTGTTTGAAGCCCGGCCTCTGTTCTTCTGCCTCCACCTGGGTCACATCCTGCTGCTGGAGGCCCTTGCCTGGCTCATCATCTGGGTCTGGGGGACCAGCTGGACTCTGACGTTTCTGAGCGCCTTCATGCTGGCAACTGCTCAGGTGAGTCAAACATCATACATTTTCTCATATAGTGGAAGAGATTCAAAAGTTATCACAAATAAACATAAAAAGACTGGAACATGAAAAAGAAAGTTATGCAAAACAGTTTCAAAGACACAAATAATCCATAATAAACTGACTATTAAAAGGGGAAAAACAACCACAAAGAAACACAAAGAATCATCAAAGACACAGAGAAAATGACTTGAAAATAACCAAAATGAAAAGAAACAAAGCATTAAAAAGTCACTAAAATAAAAGGGTAACAAAATTAGACACAAGACCACATAGAGAGGTGTAGAGACCACAAAGAGACACAAATCAATAATAGAAATAGGCTCAACACAACTATAAAGTCTCTGTGTAGCTTGTATCGGAGTGGTAGTTGGGCCTTTTGCATGTCTGTGCCTAACTATAAATTAAGGCAGATGCTATTTGCACCTGGGCGACTATATTGTACAATGCCTGGGTGTATATATTACATGGCAAAGAAACAATGCACCCAGTTGTCCATTGTAGACAGTGATATTTACACCCAGGCGTACATTTGATTATGTTTTGAATATATTAATGCTTTTTTCACTTCTTCTTCTGCAGTTGCAGGCTGGGTGGCTGCAGCATGACTTTGGCCATCTGTCCGTCTTTAAGAAATCCAGCTGGAATCACGTGTTGCACAAGTTTTCCATCGGCCATTTGAAGGTAATTGGTATTCCTAATCCTATTTACAATTACGTTTTTTCACAGTTATTAAGAGATTGTTTTTCTTAGGGTGCGTCTGCTAACTGGTGGAATCACAGACATTTCCAGCATCATGCTAAACCCAACATCTTCAGTAAGGACCCTGATGTCAACATGTTGCACGTCTTCGTGGTTGGAGCCACTCAACCAGTGGAGGCAAGTTCAGTAAAAAACTAATATATACAGCATTTGACCAGACTCTCATTCTAACTCTGTTTTCTCTGTTACAGTACGGCATAAAAAAGATCAAATATATGCCCTACCACTACCAACACCAGTACTTCTTTCTTGGTATGTTTCCTGGAGTCATTTAAACAAATTGAAACTGTAAAACTTCACAGGTATAACTGTTATTTTTTCCTCCCCTATAGTTGGACCCCCGCTACTTATTCCAATTTACTTCCACGTGCAGATCATACGCACCATGATTTCACGCCACGACTGGGTGGTAAGATGCTGTCTTATTGTGTTACAGTGCAGATTACATAAGCAACATTTTCTGTCTGATAACTGAATATGTATGCGAGAAACCCCTGAGAGGCCAGTGAGATAAAAAGTCTGATCTAAATTATTTTCTTCTTTATTTATGTTTATGACTTAAGAAAAGTAGATATTATATCCATCTAATTAACCTTCCTCTCTTTTGAAGGACCTGGCTTGGTCTTTGTCGTACTACCTTCGCTACCTGTGCTGTTCTATACCCATGTTCGGCCTGTTCGGCTCAGTGATGCTCATCACCTTTGTCAGGTAATCAATGCAACCCCAACACACACACCTACTGTAACACAATCAAATACTGACATCTAACCACTCATACATGCCTCTTGTTTGTACCTATGCTGCAACGATTACTCTAAACAAATCAAAAAACAACTTAAAACTCAAAAATACACATTTATTGTCACTTAAAGGGGACCTATCATGCAAAATGCACTTTTGTACGTCTTTTATGCATGAATATGTGTCCCCGGTGTGTCAGGGAACTCACCAAGTGTCAGAAAACACAACCCTCTCTATTTTCCTCCATACCCAAATCTCTAAAAACGGGGCTGCAACGGATCTGATATAGACTGATCCAGATTTGAAATATCTCTGACGTCAGAAACAAGGAGCTCCGCCTATATGGGCAACTCTCCACCTATCAGGGGAATGAGAGGTTGCCGTGGCATGGTAACAGCATGGTAACAGCATGGTAACAGCATGGTAACATGACGCTCGTGCCTCACCCCCCTCCTTTGCAGGGGGGCGTGGTCAGCTGCAGCTCATTTGCCACAGAATCAGCCCTTGCAAAAACAGGGCTGGAATGCAGCAAATAGAGCGAAATGAGGCATGGCTAAAATGCATGATCTGTTTGGTATTTTGAAAAAAAAAACTTCACAGACATGTTTTATATAGGTATGGCCCTACAATATATTATTCAAATATAGCATGATAGGTCCACTTTAAACTGCGAGCTGCAAAAAATGTTATGCTAGAATAGGATTCCAATGATACCCAAAAGTTGAAATGTTTAAATGTTTGATTCATAATATAATTGTTTTTACTTAAATTACAAAAATAACATTATTTTCAACTAACAAACCCTTTATAATGTAATAGAAGCCGACATGTTATCTACCTGGATCACATGGTTATTCCTGACTGGTGTTGTTGTGAATGGCAGGTTTTTGGAGAGTCACTGGTTTGTGTGGGTGACTCAGATGAATCATCTGCCGATGGACATCGACCACGATAAGCACCGGGACTGGCTCTCCATGCAGGTACCCGCAGGTTTTTAGGGGACAGTCCACAGTGATCTGTATGTGATGCTGATATATTCATTTGCATTTTTTCTCGCTCTCTGTTTTAGCTAAAGGCCACCTGTAATATCAAGCAGTCCCCCTTCAACGACTGGTTCAGCGGGCACCTCAACTTTCAAATCGAACATCAGTGAGTCAATGATCTAGTCTGAGCAGAGCATGTGTTCATCAGCTCAAAAGCTTGTAGGAAAACAATCAAAAAGATCTTCAAATAAATGGGAAATAATCATCTTATAGATACAAAAAGCATTACAAGTCCATCAGTACATCATTCCTGAAATCTGAAAGCATGATGATCTTCAAGAATTAAGTAGCCACACTTTTTTAGTGTCCAGATAAAAAGAGAAAGTTTTCAAAGTTTTGTAAGTTTTTATTTGAAGAAATTAGTATGAAATGATTTGAATACTATACTCAGCATAAACATTATACATTATAGCTTCATTGAATAGAGTTGGAAAAAGCTGATGTACAATATACTATTAAATATATTATAATAAACTCACATATGACAGTGAAATAAGCTGATTTTAAACAACAACCTTGATTTCAATTTAAAATTATAACACTATTTTTTAAACATGTCCGATGGACCCTTTCTGTTCCGTTTCTCGTCTGAAGTTTGTTTCCCACGATGCCGCGCCACAACTACCATCGGGTGGCCCCGCTGGTCCGTGCTCTGTGTGAGAAACATGGGATTCCTTACAGCGTCAAAACAATGTGGCAAGGCATTGTTGATGTTTTCAGGTAAGTCCAATACTAAAAGTAGTTTATCATCTACTGCTGGGAAAGGACATGTTGAGGTTGTCAACAAACAAAAGCTTTTGAGGAGATTGTTAAACAAAACAAAGGTATGAAACTAACCAACTGACAGATTAATGAGGGCTATAACTAAATAAAATGTTCTTGCTGAACAAAGTTAAGTGATGAACCTCTTGCCTGATAGATGTCGTGTGTATTTTTGTTTTTTTTCAGGTCACTGAAGAACTCGGGCGACCTCTGGCTTGACGCGTATCTCCATAAATGAGGTCTTTTCTCTACACTGTACCTACAGGAAGTTTTTCTCTTCTACTGCATCGTACATTGATTGTATCTGTTCGGTTTTATACTCCAGTTGATAGTACGGGAATGATCCTTTCTTAGTGTCGTTTTAGTATTTTCAGATTCAGTGCGCAATTTTTGTGCTCACAGGATTTCTCTGAATTGCCTTACAGCGTCTTGAGCAACAGTGGTATGGTGTTATAGATACAGTTGTAAAAATGGATTGTGAGGTATTTTAAAGTGATGTTTTTTTCATTATCTATCATGCTGAAACAACAAAAAATGACAAATCCTGTTTAATTGAGGATAAGTTATCATTGTACTTAATTGAACTTCTTTCTTGATCTTACATTATACAATAAAATAACTATTGACTGTTTCTCCACCTCGGGTTTTATTAATCCAGTGACAAACACAGGAAATAAAGTCATTACAAAAAGATGAGACATCAAATATTTAACAAGATATTATTTTATTGTCCCATTATATTTACAACCCCTTGAATGCCCAAATCTTCATTTAAGTATTATTATCAGAGCAACACACTTTCATGTTTTCCTTATTTTTCCTGTATGTGTTCAGCTTACACTGCAAATATCATGCTGCTCCAAAACAACATGAATGACAGCATCTCACTGTTATGTACAATAATGTCATGAATGAGTTTCTCTTGCCAGAATGTCTGAATTCTGATTAAAAACATTATTTCTATTAATACCTACAGCTGAACTGCAGTTAGTAAGCAGGATTGATGAGAATACTTCTGACATATACAGTAGTTTTAATTATAGTTGTAAACAGTAATATGAAAATAAATGGCTATATATCAGAAAAGGTGTCAAACATTCTGGCACAGGTTTAGTTATGCTATAGCTAAGATCTACTTATTGAAGTCATTCAATAAACAGCTGCAATATTGACAATGAGCATAAACATTGACCACACAGTACAAATATGCACAATACATGCATGGTGTGCTTACACATGCTCCCACACACACCCTCTCACAACTGTACATGGATTCACAGTCACCCTCTTTCATACAACAACAATGAAAACAGAAGCAACATAATTAGATAAGAAAACACTGGAATACATACATATTGGGTGATACAAAATAAATATACAATTAAAAATGTATACAACATTTCAGTATGTTCCACTGTCGGTGATAATTGACAGGAGCTTGATTGAAGAAGCTTCTGAAGAGGGGAAAGCGTCCGTTCAGTCTTTGCTGCAAGAGTTGATTCTCTCCTGCTGCCGCTTCATGACCTCCTGCAGCTCCGTGTCTCCTTTGGTCTTCTGCAAAGGAAGCGCAAGAAGACTAATTTTTATTTATTGTTTATGAATGTTTCTCCTTTAGTATTATGCCAAACTGCTGTTTAAGGATTCCCCTATTTCAAAGAGAGACAAAGGACCACAAGCTACAAAATAAACCATCTAGTGCCTTTTTAAGAAATGCTCTGTTTAGACGTGAATCTAAACTTTTCTTATCCTGGTCTTTATTACAGCATTTTAAAACAAGGAAGTACACACAGTAAATGATCCTGTCTGCTTTTGAGGAGATCTGAGGATCACACTGGATCATTAACGGAAAGGTACTTAGAAAACTATATGTTTTGTGTTGATAATATAAAAAGACAACAATGCATTACATGGATAACAGATTGACTTAAAAAATAATATTTAAAAAACAAAAGATGGTAAAAGTGAATTGAAACGGTAAAGGTTAGAAAGAAAATTAGCATAATCCTAAATATTTTTATAAATACACGACAGGCTCTAACTCCTTATCCGCAATACTTTTAATAATGTTAGACTTTAAAATACCAAATATTTTTCTTTGTCAATATTGTTTTTGTCCCCTCCATATTACTCTGGAGTCTAGACCAGTCTGCTTCGACTTAGTCAGGACTCATTGCTTCACCCTGATTTGCTCTGTTTCTCCTGTGAGCTGCATTTGATAATTAAAACCACAGCTGATTGTTATTTTTTTACAGTTTAAGATCTGAAGTTGTCACTCTCATACATGAGTGTCTCACAAAGTGTGTATGTAATACTTGTGATATCTATTTACTGTATCATGTAATTTGCCAATTTGTTGTAATTGCGTTTTGTGAATTTATGAATCTGCATAACTGCGGGTTATTATGTCATTATCCATGTGGGAAGCTGTTAAATTGTCAACGAATCCCACCTAGTGAGTTCTGACCTGATTATAATACGAGGATGACTCTCAGCTGACACACACTTTTATTAAAGTGACTTGTCTTAACATGCCCTGAAAGACATTGAAAGCTGAGACAGGAAGGTATTATTCAGATCTAACAAACACGTTTTACATTTGATACATAAGTGAGTTTATATTTTGTTTTGGTCTAACCATAAAAGAAACAGCTTTGTCGTAACAGGAGTGTTAGCAGTTTGCGTGCATGTGTGTGTGACAAACCTCCAGCAATTCTTTCTGCACTGTGATCTGAGAGTTGACACGATTTCCTTCGTCTCCACACACCGCCTTCAGCTCCTCTTTGTTGAGGGAAAACAGCTGTGCTCCAGTCAGGATCCCCAAACATTCAATGGTCCTGTGGACAGTCAGGAATCTCATTATATATGAATGTAATGTAATTCTAAATGTATACATAGTTTCCAATAGTGAGTTGACCATCCAAAAAATATCCATAATGGCATTTTTAAGACACAGATGTAAACAACAGCAACAATAATGAACTGATTCTCATTGGTGTCGGTTTAGCAAGCTGATGTTGCGCATAATGCCTCATTGGGGTTTTAAAGGATATTAAAGGTGGGGTAGGTAAGTTTGAGAAACAAATTCATCTGTGGAAGCCGTAAGGCAAGGCAAGGCAAGTTTATTTATATAGCACCTTTCAACACAAGGCAATTCAAAGTGCTTTACAAAAATGGAAGATATTATTAAAATGGCATTTAAAATCAGTCATTAAAAAGAAAAGATAATAAAATAACCATTAAAAGAAAAAATACATGGATAAAAGTTCAAACTTAAAAAGTTAAAACTGTAGTACTGTAAAAAGTACGACCAATCATTTTAGCCGGCCCGGCTAAAATAACTGAATGGCCTACCTGCCTGTCAGCCTTCCATCTGTGCACAAACTTATCTCGTGCCCTCATTGGTCATGTGCGTGTTCGTGTGTGTTGGAGGAGGGGCTCTGTAAGGAAGTGGCAGATTTTTTCCGGCTGTGTATTTTCAAATTCTAGCGATCTCGAGCTGGTTTCTCCAAAATTACCTACCCCACCTTTAAGCTGAGCCATCAGTAATGCTTTTTAAAATACATGTTCTTCCTAATTAATCCTGAAAGGAGGCATAAATATCACATTTTATGACAATCAATCCAATATTTGTTGAGACATTTTAGTCAAAATAACCTGATGGTAGTTTTAGAGGAAAAGTCAGGACATCAACAACGTTTAAAAAAAAAACATGAAGGTATTTTAGAGGAAAGGTATTTGGATTTCCTCGATAGTTGAGCATCGGGGGTGACTTACGGTTTCGAGAAACCTTTTGCGCTGAGCCACGCGGTCACCTGCTCTGGGGTTGAGTCAAGGTTGAGCGGTACATGGCTGCTGCTGGTTGATCCCACCCCACGGTACTTTTTGACAGACGGCTGGTTTTTGCTATGGATTTTCTCCAATAACTCACTTTGGACCTTCTGCATCTCTTCTGCAGAACAGAAAAAGGATGGTAGCAGATGTTAGAATCGAGCAACAACCATTGGTCTTATCTGTTATTCTTGGATCTGACTTTGTGATGTTTGTATTCACTCACTTTGATCAAAGGGTTTACCATGGTTGAAGCTGCTTCCAGGGCTCAGAGAACCAGGAGATGTCGTCCCGTAGCCCTAATGAACACACACACAAATACACACACAGAAAATATACAGTTCATGAGAAAGCCACTATTATTCCAAAAACAGGTTCTTCTCTCTCTCACTGGTGGTTGATACATTTTTGCCCTGAGGCCAAAAGAGAAAATATGTGTGAAAGAATTTGGCACCAGGGAGAGTTGCTGCATACAGTATGAGAAGGGCGTTGGTAAACCTGCATGCAGTGTGATGATTTGTCCTGTAAACAACAACCATTGCTTGTGCTGTATCTAGGCTTTTTACTCATCTGATAATTTTTTTGAAATCTCTGTCATGTCTCTTTATTATGACTTCTTCACTTCAAATGTGTTATCTGTTTGTGTCCTTATCATCCCTTTTACTTTTAACCCAGATGTTACACTTCCTAGCTGCATAACGAATGAATAACAAGCAGTGATAAGAAACCTTGACCTCTCCTGCTCCCATCGCACAGAGGAAAACTGACAATTATAGTATAAGTATAATAATGTGAACTCAACTATTCACTCATTTTACTTTGTTAAGATAAATGGTTGTCTGTATTTATTTTTGTTTATTCATTTATCTTCTTACTGATGCTTACTGTATTGCATTATTACCATGTGCTGTTGTTACACTAAAAATGGCTCCACTCTCAGACAAAATAAAGGATGATATAATCGTATCTAATCTTAGCTCATTTGATCTAATCTTGACAACACACCTGAAGTTGTGTAGCTGAGATAAGGATGGTGACTGTAGGCAAAGTAAGTGAAAGGGATCATGTCCTGTTGCTGCATTTCATTCTATTACAGTACCTACATTTGTTTATGTGTAGCTGCAGGAAAGATTGCCTGTATGAACGCTTCAAAAAACACCACACAGCTACAAAATCCACTCAGAAATGTCAAGCATGAATTTTAACAAAGTCATTATAAAAATGGCCAAGTTTTATGGCTGTTCCTCTTATAATGTACTGTTATTGCACCACTTGTACACTACAACAGGTCACCTGGTTATAGGCGGCTTCTGAGTCCTCGATCTTCACAACTTCCAGGATGTTTGCCGGGACATAGCCTGCCTGACCGCTGCGATTTCGTAGTTTCCACCACTGTTTGTCATCCTCTATCACCTGCAAGACACATTTCACATCCCAATCTAGTCCATTCAAAACTTGAAAGCAAGTACTTAGTGCTGGAACTGACATTGTCATGCTTGAGGACTGGACATATCAATTTGTTCACAGCTGCATCAGCATTTTGTTTACATTTTGAACACATGTCTTTGTTTTTACCTCGAGGATTTCGTCCTGCAGCACCGACAGCTCGTTGGCATTCCGTGCTACAAAGTGGTAGTGAATTTTGGCATGTTTGCGGGTGGGGGGCATCCCGTTGTATGACCTGTTAAGACACATTGTATCCTCTTATTAAAAGTTTGAACGGTTTATTGAAATGTGTGAAAGAGACAGCAAAATGTATGAAGGACTTTATAACTTACCCATTTGACGAGTTTGAGGAATGAGTTCCATAATACTGTAAAAGCAGAGGAAATTGTTACATTTTTCAGGGGTTAGGACCGGCAATGGTAGCCAAATCCACAGATAGTGGCTAACAAACAAAACCCTTACATCCTCAGCAGAGTGTTTTTTGTAATCGGCGCTGGTTGGAGACCCCAGTGGCCCCCCAAGTCCTTCTGTCTCCCACGGGGCCATCCTGAAGTAGTCCGCTGGCGGCTCCCAGCCATTACGAAACTTTGGGTGATAAGGAGGAGCGCACTGGTCCCTGGGCCACTCCGCTCTGCAGGAAGAGGGACAGGAGGGTCATAAGGTGAACTTTAAAGGGGACCTATCATGCAAAATGCACTTTTGTACGTCTTTTATACATGAATATGTGTCCCCGGTGTTCCAGGGAACTCACCAAGTGTCAGAAAACACAACCCTCTCTATTTTCCTCCATACCCAAATCTCTAAAAAAGGGGCTGCAACGGATCTGATAAAAACTGATCCAGATTTGAACACTGTCCTGACGTCAGGACAGTGGCGCTACGGCTATTGGGCCAACTCCACCAATCAGGAGGAGACAGCCACGGCCATTGCCGTCCGAAAGCGCTGGAGACGCTGTAGTACATATGCCAGGCCAGTAGGTGGTGCTGTTCTCACAGAATCAGCCCTTGCAAAAACAGAGCTAAAAAATGTCAAATTGAGCGAAATGAGGCATGGCTAAAATGCATGATCTGTTTGGTATT